CAAACGAATAAAGTTTAAAATATGCATGTAATGTTTAAAAATAACAATCATTCATGTTTATTTTATAAACAATAAATCGTATTATTTAGATTCCAAAATTTATCTATTTCTCTAAAACGTTTCATACCCGCACACGGTGCGGGTCAATTATCTAGTAGATAATATTGTGTGTATCTCTTTTACTTTTGTTTATTTTTTGAAGTTTAAACTTTCCAAAATCCTTAAATAGGGTCAAATTATAGAGAGTTAATAACGAATTGAATATAGCCTGTGCAACGCACGTGCCTGAACACTAGTTTTATTTTATTTCAAAAGTCTCTAAAGCAAATAGAGTCTCTACTATGTCGTTCAGAGGTTTGTTATTTCGCATCATCAAAAAATTTTAAAACCCAGAAAGCCCTAAAAGCTCTCTCTCTATTGTTCACTCTCAAATTCTTCGCTTCGTCTTCGTGGTCTGTATCTCTACGAACGCGAAAGTTGTCGAAAATGTCTGTGAGAGTACTGAATCCGAATGCCGAGGTTCTCAACAAATCGGCGGCGCTTCATATGACCATTAACGCCGCCAAGGGTTTGCAGGATGTACTCAAGTCGAATCTCGGTCCTAAAGGAACAATCAAGATGTATTGTCTCTTTCCATTTGTCTGATCTATCTTGTGTATACTGTTCACTATCTTCACTTTTCCAGATGTTTTTTCCCTTAATTTTCCGATTTGTTGCTCACTCGATGTAGGCTAGTTGGTGGGTCAGGGGATATTAAGCTTACCAAGGATGGGAACACGCTATTGAAGGAAATGGTGAGTTTGATAAAAGGAATATAGGATCTGTATGAAACGAGCTCTGTATTTGCTTTTTAGTGGTGAAGGGTGCTCATAAGTTCATGACTTGTTCATTTCGTATTTAACTTTGGAGGATTGGTTTTGAAATTGGATCTGTTATGTTTGGGAGACTAAGTATGATTTAATTGAATACATGTTGCCTGGGATGGGTTAGGTTAGAAAAAATTGAACTTTAGTGTTGTTCACAATTTCACATGATCAATGTACGTTTAGGATAGTGCTGGATAATGAATGGTGTTAATATGGGTTATTGGTATTGCTTTCTTAGAAGTTTCTCCTGATTCGATGATGCTTATAGGCTCACTTCTTAATTATTGCAGCAAATTCAGAATCCAACAGCCATTATGATTGCAAGGACAGCTGTTGCACAGGATGACATAAGTGGTGATGGTACTACTTCCACTGTCATCTTCATTGGTGAGCTTATGAAACAGTCCGAGCGCTGCATTGATGAAGGTGTGTCTCTATGTTAGCTGACATTATGTACATTATCTTACTTTGATTTATAGATTAGTGTTTTAGTTTAACGCTTATCTATGCTTGTTTTAGAGTTTTGCTTTTTGGGTTTGAAACTTTTAATTTTCTCTATCTATATTTAACATATAAATCTGTACCAACAATTGATCTTCAGCGACTTTGATTTGTCAAGTTTTGTTTGAATTGAACCCAGACAAATTTCCACTGGTGTCAGTATAATTTGGTAGCAGGAATGCAGTTAGAATTAGTCCTAATGAAGGTGAATGTGTGTATCAGGAATGCATCCACGTGTCCTAGTTGATGGTTTTGAGATTGCTAAGAGAGCTACTCTTCAATTTCTCGAGAACTTCAAGACCCCTGTGATTATGGGTGATGAACCTGATAAAGAGATCCTTAAAATGGTTGCAAGAACGACACTCAGAACAAAGGTATTCTTCATTCTATAATTTGTCTCTTTTTTCATTTTGTTTGGTTCTTTTTTTTTTTTGCTTTCTAAAGTTGGGTTACTCTTGTGGCCTGTGTAGTTGTACGAAGGATTGGCTGATCAACTGACTGACATTGTGGTTAATTCTGTGAGTTTACCCATCTCTAATGGAATATCACTTTCATTTTTCCCCTCACAGATGAGACTCATCTACGCGTGAATTTTGGTTTTCAAGCTTGTTTGTCTTCTAATTATCTATTTTCCACACATACCAGGTACTCTGTATCCGAAAGCCTGAGGAAGGTATTGATCTGTTTATGGTGGAGATAATGCACATGCGCCACAAATTCGATGTTGACACACGATTGGTATGTCTTTGTCGTTGGTTATTTACCAAAAAAAATTGTTCCCTCAAAATGCTTTCATAGTTTTGTAATTTTAAATTAAAAATTACCTGCTTGATTGGAATCAAATATTTTTGCTTACATAGTGTTGGACCTGTTGCAAGTACCATATTGATTCATTCCTGATTTAGGTTGAGGGGCTTGTTCTAGATCATGGTTCGAGACACCCTGATATGAAACGACGTGCAGAGAATTGCCACATCTTAACTTGCAATGTGTCGCTGGAATATGAGAAGAGGTGTGTAATATAATTCTTTGGTCTCTTCGGTGAAAAGAAATAAAAGCCTAAATGCTGCTGGTGAAGTAGACTAACGTTTCTTTTTACCTATCAGCGAAATTAATGCAGGGTTTTTCTACTCTAATGCGGAGCAGAGAGAAGCCATGGTTACTGCAGAGAGGCGATCTGTTGATGAAAGAGTGAAGAAAATTATTGAGCTGAAGAACAAGGTGGGGATGAGACCATTTCTCCCAGCTGTATTTTGAAATTCTGTAAAAAATAACAATACTTGTTTGATTCCTTGTGCAGGTGTGTGCTGATAATGATAACAACTTTGTTATCATAAATCAAAAGGGTATTGACCCACCATCATTGGATCTTCTTGCTAGAGAAGGGGTAAGCTAGAACTATTTCTGTAATTTCTTGCATCCACACTAATGTTAAAAGTAGCTCAAACTGTTTGAATTCGATGCTTAGAAAAATACGAAAAATGCTACAGAGGAATGGTTAATCAAGTGAATTGAAAAAGGACTAGTTTCTTTTTTACATAGTTATCCATGGAGAGCATTAGCAGAAATTGTTCTTCGATTCTAATTTCTCTTATAGAAGCTGTTGAACATAATTACCTTTCCTGATGTCTCCAGATTATTGCCCTTAGAAGAGCAAAGAGGAGGAACATGGAACGTTTAGTTTTGGCCTGTGGTGGAGAAGCAGTCAATTCTGTTGACGACTTGACCCCTGAGTCTCTTGGATGGGCTGGACTTGTCTATGAGCACGTTCTTGGGGAGGAAAAGTACACTTTTGTGGAGCAAGTGAAGAATCCTTATTCATGTACCATCCTAATTAAAGGTACATATTAGGCCAACTTCTATCTCTTCATTAAGTTTTGAATTTTCATTTTATAATTGAAGTCACGTTTGTTATCATTAATGATTTATTGGTTTGCTAGGGCCTAATGACCACACCATTGCTCAAATTAAGGATGCTGTTCGTGATGGTCTAAGATCGGTCAAGAACACCATTGAAGACGAGTGTGTTGTGTTAGTAAGTACAACATAACTAAGTATTTTGTGGACCTTTCTATTTATCTGTAATGTCAAAGAGATTGTTAATTCGTGATGTTTATACGTTATGTTGATACGTGGTTGCATCTTTATCTAGGGAGCAGGAGCGTTTGAAGTTGCAGCAAGACAACACTTACTCAATGAAGTCAAGAAAACCGTTCAAGGGGTAAATTGATAACTTTAATAAATGCACCTTGAATATTCTAGATCACTGATATTATCATCAATGTTGCAGCGTGCCCAACTTGGCGTTGAAGCTTTCGCTAATGCCCTTCTCGTGATACCTAAGACACTTGCAGAAAATGCAGGTCTTGACACCCAAGACGTGATCATTTCTCTTACGGTATGCATTCTCCTCTTTATCCTCTTCTGCAAACCGGAATGAACGAATTGCATAAAAAACAAACATTAAATTGCTAATTGTGATGCTTATGCAGAGCGAGCATGACAAAGGAAACGTCGTGGGACTGAACCTTCAGGACGGTGAACCAATTGACCCGCAGCTCACTGGTATATTCGACAATTACTCGGTGAAACGCCAACTTATCAATTCAGGGTAATCTTGGAACCAACAAGCTAATATTAATATTGTTGTGGTTCGGTTCAAGCCATTTTAGTAACGGCTATTTGTTTGTGTTGCAGGCCAGTGATTGCGTCGCAGTTGCTTTTGGTGGACGAAGTGATTCGTGCAGGAAGAAATATGAGGAAGCCTACTGCTTGAAGTCCTTAACATTTTGCTTGCTCTATTTGTTTCTAAGCATATCAAGTTTTTTGTTTTTTTGGTTTTATCCTGAAAGTTGTGTGAAACTTGTGTTTTGGTTATGAGAAACATCTTTGAAACTGATCTCTAGATTTAGTGGATTTTTTTGCAAACTGAGAGAAAATGGAAATACAAAATCTATTACTTTTCTTTTAGTGAATAAAACCCTTGTTGAAGAAAGGCCATAGTTTATATTGTCGACGCTTATAAAGAACAAGAAAACCACATGACGAGTCCAATCTTTCTTCCAACAAAGCTTATATGGCCGATGCTGAGACTTTGCCCTCTTCTTGAAGCATGTACTCTCGCTTCATCTCCTCCAAAACACTGTCATTGGTGCTGCATAATCGACAAACTTTTCATGATTAGACAACATTTAACCATCTCTTAAAGTTCATGATTTCAAAAACAGAATGTATAGTATTTAGAAGGACACAAGAACAAACCCGATATTAAACCGTGTTACACTATCAAGAGAAGAAACCATCAAAGTACATAGTTTCTCGTTTCTAATCCCAAACACTAATATAGTTATGACAGTAACATAGAACCATCTCGTTTCATTAGTTCATATCTTCTTTACAGATATAAGAGCAATGCAAATTCATCATACAAGCGAAGCGCGTATTAAGAAAAAAAAATCGCAAAATCCGATGCTCCATACACCCTTAAAGCTAAGTAAATCTCAACATATATCGGACCATGGAAACAAAGAAGACATCTTTAATCGAAAAGAGCATTATTAAGAGGTGAACTTACAATTGATGGAGGCAATTGTTGAGCTCTTTAGCTTGCTTACGACATGACCATACCACAGAAAACGTTCTTCCTGTTGCGCATTCCGCATACTTTGAAACATACTGATCACATTCGTTCAATGCCTTTGCCTTCATCTTGCTACGCAGTGCTATTACCACATACACAAATCAATCAAACAATCCTTTATTCCTCTAAACAAAAACCCATCACTACCATTAAACTTCAACAAATCTTAAAGCTCAATTCAGAGATTAACATAGAAGCAAATTCAACACAGATGCTTGATAGATCAAACCAGCTCAGATGCAAAAAATAGTCTGAAATTTTCGAGGGTTAGTGAAGTTAATTCAATCTTAGGGTCTCTGATTAAAAAAAAAATCAGGTTTAAAGAGTATCGATTTGGTCGTTTATTCCATTTTCGAGGGCAATCAAAAGAGCATTTGGGGTTTAGGGTTTAGAACACAGAAATGATGAAGAAGTGACGACATTGTTAATTTTGTTACCTTCTTCGACCTTCTTCTTGACGTGATTCTCACGAGCTTTCTCTACATAGCTCCCCATTGACGGACCTTCGAGCTTTTCCGGCCTTCTCCGATCAAATCGATCAAGCGGGTAAAAAAGACTTGAGAGGTTTCAGGGCAAAGGGTAAATCCGTAAATTACAAGAGGAAACTCACCTATTATTGACATGTTGCCCCCTTCTATTTTGATTTATTTTATAAATAATTATAGATTTGACCCTGCTATTTTATGAATCGTTAAGTCCACCCACAAGAAAAAAGTCATTAGTCGGTCAACACATAACACGTGTCGTGTTATCATTGGGTTGTTGCCTTTTCGCTCTCTTTACTCTCTTCCAATATTAAACGCGGATCAAAATCTTATAAAACTTTTCTTTCGATACCGAATCACCCCACCACAAAATAATTTAATATAACCCTCTAACCTTTAATGAAGTGGAAAAAAACCAAAAAACCTAAGCTAATAATTAAAAAAAAAAATGGATCGCGATGGATCTG